ACTACTACTACTACTACTACTACTACTACTACTACTACTACTACTACTACTACTAGTACTACTACTACTACTACTACTACTAGTACTACTACTAGTACTACTACTAGTACTACTAGTACTACTACTAGTAGTAGTAGTACTACTACTAGTACTACTACTAGTAGTAGTTCTACTACTACTAGTACTACTACTAGTAGTGGTAGTAACTAAGGAACAGTTGAACGTTGACAGCTTTAATAGCGTAAATATACTCATTACCTTTGATTGTGTTAGACTGACTTAATAATGTCTTGTAAGTCGTAGCATTTATAGCAACAGACACTGGCATACACATTCAGCAACTAACTAGTACCGACTCGAGTAGATGAAAATGAATGAACTGAAAATCTACTACGGCTCAGTCTTACCTCATTTCCCACAATATTTACAGGTCTTTCAAATATCGGCACAACACTTTCAGTCAACTAGGTATCCAGTTTTATGATTCCATCAATAGTATTGTCAAAAAGATCGTTCTTCCACAGAAAACCAATTAAATAGGGAGAAAACATATCTTGTTGTTGTTCTCCGTTTCCATAACTTTCACAATGCATGCTGGGATATACACATAAACAAAAGAACAGGCTATCACCGATATAAATTTAGTTATTATAATAGTGGCAGTAGGTATTAGGTTATGTACTTTGATATCGATTATATTTTTACAACTATATGGATTAATATAATATTACTAATAATATACGTTAGAAATTTTATATTCATAAAAAACAAGCTAAACAGACCGTACTATTGTCATCGTCGCTTTCCGTTTTATAATTATAGTCCCTTGCAGAATGAATGATCCTTATAACTTATAAGATGAGGTTATCGTCAATACTATGCACGCACACACGGCAAATGCAAGCTTTAGATTTGAATACTCATACATAGCAATCTTTGTTGTCGAGATTATTCAGAGACAAAAAAAAATTAGATACTAATACGCGCCAATGTGTGTACCGGATAGCTGACACCCATGCAGAGCATGCTGATTGCTCTTTTGATATTTTACATCACACAACACTACTTATATATTATTTAATTATTAAAATAATCGATGGACAAAACACTGCCTGGGCCGAAGAAACGGAAGAATCTATTTGTGTACATGTATATTTATGCTAAACGCCATATTTTTCTTTACAGTAGTTTGATATAAATAACCAACCTGTGTATATGGCAGCTACCCATAAGATACAGCAAGTGGACTTGTGGCTCTACTAGAGAGGTGGCACATGTATAATTGCCATTCTAAGAAAATAGCAAGTGGTCTTGAAGGAGAGGTAATCACAAACACAGAATCAATATAATAATGCAACTGCCTGAAAGCAACTCGATTCTTCTGGTATTGTAGTATGTAACCCTGTTACATTTGAATGAAATAATTGATATTGATCTGGGTATTGTTTGAAAGTCAACATAATTTTTTTCACAATTACAAAAGAAACTAAATATAATTCTCATCTCATCTATTAAAACAATTAAACGAGTAGATTATTATTAAAACATATTTATTGCCCAATTTGAGTAACAAATAACCTCAACGTGTTAAACATCATTCCCTTGAAGTTGCATTTTCAAAATTGTAATTTAATTGAAATAAATTCATTATAATCAGAAAACTTTAAACTGTTTCTTAGTTTATTTTTTTAATATTTAAATCATCTACCCTATCCAGGTCAATATACAAATGGAAAACTCTGTGTGCCGCCACTGATTTATATATAATATATAAAATTATATATAGATTGGTGTGTGCCACGCACACTTGTGAAAAAGAACAAGTCAATCAGCTCATGTAGGTCCTCGGGCGCCATCTGTGGCTGACATCGTCACTTTCTAAAATACGCTTCTGCTCCCAGTCTGTAAGAAAAATTCCCAACAAAACAATATTTTAGTAGAGCACAGAAAGGTATAAAAATTGACCACTATTTGTAAATTAAAAACTTTTTTAATTTGTATAATTTTTTACTAATAGTTTGGTATACTATGGCGGCTACACAATGTGCTCAGCAAAGCATGTCTAATGCATGGCTACATCCTTAACCAGAAGGAAATCATAGATGCGACAAGAAATATTAAGGACACGACACACACTCATACGGACGCTTCTGGTCAGGATTCATAGCTCTCCAAGCTTGAGCCAAATGCTTAGTGACGTTGCTCATGCGCTGGCAGTTCCCAGTCTTTCTGCAGATGAATGAGTGGAGTTACTTTCTTACGTGCATGAATAATTGATGGAGCACTTTCAATTGTGGAAATGCACAAGACGAAGCATGGCAATTGACGATAACACAATAAAAATAATCTGACCACTATAGGGGCAAGTAATGCCATAGAGATGCAGTACTAGGAAGATAAATTCCAATGCCAGGATTAAAAAGAGGGTCAAGTCAAGAACTTTCTAGAGATCGTGTAATGGGGAAAGTAAAATCGGAAGTACCACAAACTAGCAAACAATAACAGCAACAGACAGTAGAATCTGGATAATTATATATGCGAGTCAAACAATCGAGGAAAATATTAATGCAAGTTAGGATAATTAAATCATTCACATGCCTTTCAAAGAGTTTTCTATTACACTTTGAAAAATACATGAAGCCATTCATCCAGGTTTCCTTCCTGTAATCCAGTCTGGAAGAATTCTGTCCATGTTGCCCAACTGTAACCTGGTTACTAACACAGTTTGATGACACACTGCACCGTGTAATACCTTCTTGCTCTTTCTGCAAAGATCCTGAACTGAAAGGATATAGAATGTTCAACCTGTCATATTCAGGTAAGTCAAATTGTGTTGCAGACAACTATATAGAACGAACACCTGTTTAAAATGGACACATCTTGCATTTCTTTTGAGTGGCAGACAAATTTGAAATCACCCATAGGGAATTGACAGCTGCCTATAAACGACAATCTTATGGTTCCCTGGAACAACACTTGCATACAGATATGAATACAATGTATTCTGATCAATATATAAAGTTTTCTTATACAAACACATGGTATAAATCAACGTACATCACGTCAGAATCTGCTTTCATCAGACATGCTGCACCACTGTCATTTTCACTATTGATGGTGCCTCCGTTCATGCAGTAAGCATGATCAGCACTAGTAACATCAGGCTTTAAAACATCTTCTACAGCTTCAGATTTTGTGGCAATACGAGCCTCTGAAACACAGCCATATTCAAAATAGGAATGACAGAAGCTTCAGCAACTGGAACAACAATTGGATATAATCAATTTAACTTAATTAATAATAATCCAATAAAGATTATCATTAATGTGCTGCTGGTATCGGTGATAAAAGATTATTACCATACAAAATAGGTTCAACTGTGCTGAGGCTAGTTTCCTTTCTCACGGCAGTATTCATGGTAGTGAGAGGCATTCGTTTGTATTCTTCCATTCCTCCTACTTTCACCAAAAAACCTTCTCTATGGGAAGACTGTAACTGGCAGTTTTCCACATCCTCCTTTGCATTACCCATGACATGTACCACAGCAGACTTAGTTGGTCGGACTTTCTTTACACCACCTACTTCCATCATGGATTTATCCCTACAATGAATGGATGGGGAAAACACCAAGCGGCTCCTTTGCTTGCACTCGACTTTCTGAGGCGTATACCGTTGTGGGTGATTTACTGGCTTGGTAGATGCTACTGTAGCACTGACACTAGGAGATGGAGTACACATCAAGCAAGATGTCAGAGTTGTGTTTGCGCTCACAGGAGTTTTCACAGAAGTGACATGCGTTTTTGAAGAGAGATGCCTTGCAGGATATTTTACAGAGTGAGAAGATAGCACTTGGGAACGATTCTTTTTGAATTTCTGTGAGAGTTTCTGTGGCTGTCCCTGCTTTCTTGTTCTCATCCGCCTCCGCCCTGGGACAGGTACATCACCAGTGAAGAGGAGTGACGAGGAAGGAAACAGCACAGAGTCCTCGCATTGGACACCATCAGAAATATCCTGCATAGTAATTGACAGAACATTTAGCTACTAAATTACTGTTTGGTTCAAACGCATTTTAAATTGGTATAAAAAGATTGAAAAAGTTAGCTGGAAATACAGTAAGCTATATTGTCCACACATTCTTGGCTAAATATTTACCAATCTAAAAAGTACCACAAAACAACCTGACCAAGGGAATGAATGTGTAGCATACCCGTGCATCTTGATCTGCATCATCTGCTGGGAGAGCATTAAAATGGCCTGTCAATGCTGGTTGAGACCACATGACACTTCCTCTATTACCTTCAATGTCACCAGGCTCAGTTCTGTCAAATATGGAAAAGTAAGCAGAAGAACTATTGTTTCCTTAAATCTAGCATTTATTATCCATGTCTAATATATTTTTCAATCCTATCTATGATTTTAGTTTGGCTACCTTGATGTCTTGGTTCCCACTAGTATCTTGTTCTTGGACAAAGGTGAATTCAATGACAAATCTAAAGCTTCGGGTAAGTCCGGCAAGTGGTGACTCCTAGTGTATACCTCCTAGAAGAATGTATTAATAGATAAAATTTCGCTGAAATAATTTCAATTGTGCCATTCTCTATTTAGTGCACCATGCATACAGCAATTAATACAAAAAGGAAAAGATATGAAATATACTAAGAGCAATCAACCGTTGACATAGGCTAGTAGGTAAACGAATAGGTGTAAAAACTTTATGATACCATATTTTAGTGGACTTTTCTGACTCACCTGGTTGTTGCCATGCATGTCGGTGAACAGCTCTTGGCCTCCATCACTATGATCAAGTTCAGATGCCAGCATGTAAGAGACAGCAAGCTCCTCTTCAGTGGTGCCAAAGCTCTCTGTAGGTAGGCAATAAATGGCACAAGGTCTATGATCAGGCAGACTTCAATCAAATGGAAATGCTTAAACTAAAAAAAATTCTCCTGGGTGTTGATTTACAAAACATGTTCCTGACACAGTGAATCACTTACAAACACTGGATACAAAAAAGGCCAGAACAAAAAGTGTTACCAACGTGTATCATGGTAGGTACTATGATATTAGGAGTCTATCAATTGATAGACTCCTAATATCATAGTACCTACCATGATACACGTTGGAATTGATAGACTCCTGATGATATGCATCTGCATTTTTGTCACGGGCTCTACAATGTCCCTGTCAGACTTCCAATTAAGCAGTTACATACAGGGGCATGCTCACAACTAGCAAAGCTTATCAGCACTTTTGCAAACAAGGAAATGCTCTATACCACTGTTCATCTTCATACCTCCACCAGCACTTTCACATGCAGGCTGGCCACTGGCACACTTGGATGTTGGCAATTTGCTCAATGTTCTCTTGATGCCATCTGGGGTGAGTAGGTTGGTCAGGGTAACTATGTTATTATAGTTGGGAGTGCTGGTATCGGCCATGTCTGCGTCACGGCGAGCTGGGACGCTGGCTTCGCTCACGGGAACGAAGGTGAGAACTCCATCATTGTTGCTGCCTGCTCAGAAACGAGAGATGTGCACTAAATTTTACGACGTAAAAGTGCACGTCTAAGCACTGAACAGATAAGGCCATGCATCCCTAATATATCTCACACAGAACAACAGCTGTGACTTGCATGCTGAAATAATGATTATGGAAAAAATTGACATTAATTAATTCAATGCAACGCAACATGCAGCACAATTCGATGCAGTCTACATTGGTGCTGTTACTCAAGTACCTTGCAAGATCATGTACTTTTGGTGAGCATCTCCACCAGTACCACCCGCATGCATAGTTCTTGAACTTGTGATGCTCGGTTGATAACCAATACCTTTTGTTTCTTGGTCCAACAAACCACCAGTAGCAACATCTATCTATAGTGATCACATAACTAATTAATACAAATGTATTGCATTTATCGATGCCCTGAATAATGAAGAAAGCAACTTTTTTTTATTGAATTTACGAGATAAGTCATAATAGTTCGGAGTGCACTCAATATGCTTTTAATCACATCCTTCATAACACTCATATGCTTTTAATGGTCTCTTACATGAGAAGTGGAATTCGTCTCTACAATTTTAGATTTGGTCGTCGGTTTCATCGTCACTTGCTCTATGGAGGTAAGCTGCATTGGTATTCCAGTAGTGGGATCGATGATATGAGAGGGCATGGTCACCCTACGTGCTTTCAGTGACTATGAAATCAAAAGAAAGGCCCTGTGGTTATGCACATACCAAGTTCACATCTGCACCTTTCCCTGAATTGAGGTAAATGAAAAATGCAGACGAGGCATTTCGAAATACCTGTGGAGCAAACAGCTTGAGATCATTCCTAGGAAAGCAATAGGTGGATGGTTGATGGAGCAGTGGGTTGGTGATGATTGGTCGCTGGGGGAGTACGCAAGGGACAGAGGAACTGGTTCCAGGCAGACGGCTTCGACTGTTCATCATGTAGCTCGCACACTTTCAAGATAGGGAAACAGAAATATACGCGCACTTGTATGTAAAAACATTACATATTCACCGCAGTCATAGATATGGATAATATGATCTCAGTACTTGCATTAATGATAGACTTTTAATTGGCTATCACCTTGTTACCACAATGTTATATCTTATTAAGATCATTTACTTGTTATGCATTCAATTGTGACCGGAGCTATGTTCACCTTTTTAGACACACGTAATTTTGGTTTGCTTCTCATTCTCCTAGGCTTTATTGGAGAAACAAGCATACCTGAATAAATGAAAGACATTTTTATTGTAAAAGAATTAATCTTCTGTCGTGTGCTAGTCTTTTGTATATGGAGGAGAAAACCATATTTTAGATATAACAAAATAATGAAATATAAAATAACATGTCTGCTGACTTAAATATTAAATAAAAATTGAGAATAACTTAAATAATTTTGTTTTAATGATTAAATAATACACATATAAAATTCATAGTCAATAATCTATTAATAAATGGTAATTCTTCTCAAGATTCCTTTGGACATAGAACAAATCATTTTTACAATGCTGTGTCATACAGCATAATACCAAATTCTTTATGTATAAGGGGCAGAATGAAGAATTAATGAGCACACACTAAAGCAGACATAGAAATAAATCTTTGGATCAGACAGGCTACCTGGCTTTAGAAATAGGATACCTGCAGAAACGTGAGGGAGTCTGCAGTCTCAGATTCAAAACTAAAGATATAACAATGCCACGCAACACAAGTCGAAGTAACTACCACAATGACATGAATTATCATGCTATATCTGTCAGGCATTACCACAGAATATTATTTTAATACAATAAAAGCAAAACTGTATTCAATAGATGTTTAGTTATGTATAGCAAAATTTTCAGTGAGCCACACGGACTCCTGCTACATCAAATAAGGGAGTGTGGAAATAAAACACGCAGTATTCGACTTCAAATCCGTGTTACCTTTACCCCACTCTCTGCTATAGCTATTTGATAAAGTGTCTCAAAATCATCTATGGTACATCTCACCATCCTCTTCATGTTCTGCTGTCAGGAAAGGAAGGTGCATGTTCATTGGAACATCCAACTCAGTAGCCAACTCATGCACCTTTTGCTCTAGAAATGTGCAATAGCGAATGATTTTCTGAAGTTCTTGTACCTGAAAAGAAAATTGAAAAACTTTCATGTCATTAACAGAGATATACTTATGATTGTTTAGAAAACTGCATATAAACTATTGCAGTTTATTGATTTCCATGACTCACCCGAGTTTCTCTGAGCCTCAACTTTCCTGGAACTCTGTTTACCAGTTTCTTAAGGATGGCATTCAGATCATGATGTCTCAACCTAGAGAAAATAAGACATAATAAACTAATATTTGAACAAAATTACAATAGCATGACAATACAATGACTGTGGTACTTGCTACTATACGAAATAATAAAACAAATAATTACATTTACACATATATTTGCTTTTTAAATTTAACTATAAAATTGTGGCTACATAAATGGATAATGATTATAAACTTTATAAATCACCATTTTCAATTGCATCTATATCAGGAGTAGATAATAGGGAAGGAGTGTGACTTCAATAAACAAGGGAAATTCGTCATTTACTAGCCTTATAATACCTACGATTTACTACGCGTAACTCATCCAACTTGAGCTCAAATCGTACACATGCAGTACATTCGCCTAGCATCGTGCAAAATCGTTTTCTCGTATACACCCGCAATCCGGAGATACAGACTAAAACGTACGACACGATTTTTCATTCTGTTGCCAGCAAACTCGATGCGTTCGGAGCCTTATTTGAAACAAAAGGCAGCTACTAACCACAGCTTGCTCTCTCGGCCAGGAGGTGTGGCTCGAGGGAGATTGGACATCGACGCAACACTCGGCGAGATAACTTTTGACCCGGCATACAGCTACATACCGGCATACCGGCATACAGCTGGTATGCCCCACACGCACGCACGTTCACCGCAATCAGCAGCAGCTCCAGCTCCAATCTCCCTGCAAGCCACACGCCTGGCCGAGAGAGCAAGCTGTGGTTAGTAGTAGCTGATTTTTGTTTCAAATAAGGCTCCGAACGCATCGAGTTTGCTGGCAACAGAATGAAAAACGTTTGTGTCATACGTTTTAGTCTGTATCTCCGGATTGCGGGTGTATATGAGGAAACGATTTCGCACGATGCTAGGCGAATGTACTGTGTACGATTTGAGCTCAAGTTGGATGAGTTACGCAAAGTAAATCGCAGGTATTATAAGGCTAGTAAATCACGAATTTACCTTGTTTATTGAAGTCACACTCCTTCCCTATTATCTACTCCTGATCGATATCCTGATGAATAAGCTCATTTTTGATGGTTAGTCATTGAACAGCTCCTCTTTCTCAAGTGAAAATTCTGTGATTTGCTTGTGGTTTTAGTCCAGTCTAATTAATCTTTATACATGCAGTAAAACTAGTTTACAGTTCAATGAATACTGTTATAATACAAGTAAGAACAGGTCCAGGCCATAATAAAAATATTGTTTGTTTGCCCTCACCCGACCGACCCGCCAAAAAAGGGCCCCCGACTCAATTTTTTTATTGATCTTTCCCATTCTTTTACTTATTTGTTACAAAATAATTTCTTTACCAATTACAAATTTAAAGAAGTGACCTGTCTGTCACTTCATAAGCGGACACAATTGCGTAACATACAACAAGAAGAGGGCAGTGCAAGCAAGAGAGCAAAGACATAACTTTTAATTTCAAGCCATGGTTTACAAAGCTTACACAATATTCAAGCTATGGCTGTTTAATACCTCTCAGAGTCTCTGTGCTTTGCCATCAGTTTCATAATGGTTCTGGGAGATTTCACTTTTTTCCGTTCTATCTTTTCCTCACTTTCAGACAATTGCACTGCAATGTGAATTGGTGAGAAATGTGACCAGAACCTATTAGAGGTTTCAATATCTTTATACTCAAGTAAAAAGGTTATTTTTTCAACAAAATCTAGTCTGTAAAAATGAGAAAACATGGGTCAAATTCAAAGTTACCCAAAATTGAGAATAGGGTACTGTATTTCCCAATTGATTAACAATGATTATATTGGAAGAAACCTATGTCAAAAACTAAGATGAGAACCTTAGCTTATTTAAAAAAAAGGGATAACTTGTCTAGAATCTCTGTACATCAAGAGGGTGTCTATAAAAATGAAGAACATAGATGCATGCCAATTTTCCTATGAGCGCACCCTGACCCAGAGGGGGGCTAGCCTAGATAGTAACTATAATGTTCAAATATCATTTGTTCTTTTGACATTTCTAGGCTTTAGTAAAATACATACAAATGCCATCATTCAATTCAGTTTACATACCTCAGTTGGCAGTTTGATCTTCATGTCAGTTTTTTAGGCTAAATCAAATGCTTGCAATATATTTCCATGCAATACGTAGTAAAATTGTAATTTAGATCTAATAGAGCCCAGGATAATAGCCAACAGAGTGAATAGTTTTAGTAATTATCTTGTTAGATGTTTACTTGATTTTATACCCTAATTTTGAAATCTTTTATTATATGCACGTATTCTTCTTTTGTCTAATGTTACTTCACCACTCAGCCATATCAACTGACCTGTTGTATTGACTAACCTTGCATAATTTTTGCCATGTGGTTATCATGAGCTGCAACTGAATTGGCAATTAATTGGTTTGGAGACTCGTAATTCAACCTCTCATAGCTCCGGAATCTATCCTTGCTGCTATTTGACTTGTAAGAAGGAAGTAGGCCTAGGGACCCAGAGTCTTCCCACCACCCACCGTCATGAGGCTGCAACGAAATATATTCACTTATCAATTTGGGTATGGTTCATATAAGAATGGAAGACCTGTCTCCACATGGGATGTACGTACTACGTTTTTTTAACAAAATATCGTGTTAATTACTGACTGTGGTATTTCACGTCTGTTTAACCAATGACATTGAAATAAAATTCTCCATCTAGAATCGGCAGAGAAATATTCACAATTTACTTTAGAATCAGTCTATTTATTAGGTAGGTACCTATTATGAAGCGATAAAATGTTTTTAATGAAACCAACCAACCTTTATTAATGCGCTCCTCTTGAGATTACTTTGCCCTCTACTTGTAGTTTCAATTGGAGGTGTCAAGGACTCAACATCTTGTCCAGAGCAGCCAAGTTCGAACTCTTTCTTGATGACACCACATAAGTTTTCCATATCATAATCGTTGAATTCATTCATGCTTACAAATCTTGGTAACACCTAGAATACAAAAAGCTAGGCAGAAATCTATGTGAAATAAATTGAGACCAAGTATTTGATCATGTGTTAATCGATTAACATTTTCGTGTGAGTATTACTAGAGGTCGAACTTTCAAGACGTCTACAACGTCACAACGTGCACTCTTTCCGTACTGCTACAGCCATATTGAAAAGCGGCCGATGGCGCTCAACGACCACTCCACGACCCGTACATGTCCGCCTGGCGGCAGTCGTTGTAATGTGGCGCAAGGTCGCAAGTCAGGAATATCGCCGATTTGAACGAAAATCGTGACCGAGTGGGTGCGTGGGCGGGGGATTTAGTGGGTGAGTGAGTGAGTGATCGAGTGGGTGAGTGAGCGAGTGAGCGAGTGGGTGGGTGGGTGAGTGAGTGAGTGGGTGAGTGAGTGAGTGAGTGAGTGAGTGATTACAAGTGAGTGACCGAGTGAGCGCGTGAATGAGTTAGTGAGTACGTACGAGTGAGTGAGCGAGTGAGTGAGCGAGTGAGTGCGTGCGTGCGTGCGTGCGTGTGTGCGTGCGTGCGTGTGGTGTATATGTATTATATATATGTGTGAGTGAGTGAGCGCGTGCGTGCGTGCGTGTGGTGTATATGTATATGTGTGAGTGAGTGCGTGAGTGCGTGAGTGAGTGAGTGAGTGAGCCAGCGAGCGAGCTCTGTCTAGACATGCCATGTAGCTCGTTAGGCTGCCCCCCCCCCACAAACCTATTTGAACAAACCCAACTACACAATTAACCCCGATCCTCTCATGAAAAACGAACGGAGCTGCGACGCGACGCGAACAAAACCGGACCGACAAGAAATAACTTACTACTATTAGCAGTGCACTACTAACCAAAGTTGCATATGTCCACCGGTCATACCCACTGAAACCCAATCATTGCAGAGCGAAAGCTTCAAATCAGGCGCCGTTGTTGTAACCGGCGTTAGATATGCCACCTCCCCCAGCTGCAGACAGCGTGATTACATAAAACCATAACATGATTACATAACATAACGATAACATAAAACATGAACAATAACAACAACTAATTTACGTGTCTCGTCACCCGACTAGGCAGACACACGCTATATACACAGAATTCCACATCGACACGCCCCCCCCCCCCCACACACACACACACCAAGACCTCCAGCACTAAGACCTCACGTGACATATACCTACTGATTTACATATGTGACCATTCTGGTGAACTTTCTGAAATACGACAGAATAACATAAGAGAAATATACTGTATAGAGAGACACATGATGTTTTACATCGATGCAAAGCTATTATCAACTTATGTGTGATTGCTTGCCGTATCTATAGAAATGTCCCACAATTAGTCGTCCTTCTGTTTCACGCATCGCAGATTCGTTGACTGAATATATATATATATATATTTATTTATTTATATACCTGTCAGTACACGGAGATCGCCATTGCCTTCCCTGACTTTTGCCTTGGATTGTTGTGCGATGAACACGCTACGTGACTATAAGGCTTGGGTAGGCGCGACCCAATCTTCGAGTTCTTATACGTTCACAGATTATGCCATCAGTCAGAAAAGTAAGCTGACGAAGCTTCTGTAGTCATAAACCCTGAGGTACCGCGTCGCAGATTCACGTCGGTCGCGAGCTAACACGCTTCGCACTAAATAACATTCTTCTAATTGAATCCAGAATACCAAATTTAGATACGGAAATCACTGTCTATGTCAAAATCAATGTCTCGGGCAACCAAATACTGAAATAATACTAATAAATCTGGACGACAAGTACGAATAAAAACAATTAAGTTTAAAATATAACCCAGTTATTTGTCGAAAGTGTAATTCATATTTTATGTAAGATCCTAATATTTTTTCCTGTTTTCAAACAGTGCGCGGATTTAAAACAATCGCATACGAGGCGATTGCATTTTTTTCATAGATTGGTCGCCGACGAGTTATTGATATTTTTCCCGATGGGGTGGGGAGGCTGATCGCCCCTCCCCACTTCAAGAGCACCTCTTGTCACATACAACTACAGCCCACGGGTTATTGCAATAACAAATCTGAGAGTAATCAAGGAAGCTAGCGCGACTTTCTGTGGCATTAAAACCCTGAGGCACACCGCTGCAAATTAATTTCGTTTAGGTTTAATACAAAACGCAAGGTTATGTCGACATCACGAGAACTTATTTTGGTATTTGCCTGCCAGCAAGCAGTGCGCGGATTATTAAACCGATCGCAGACAACGAGAGTGCAATTTTTCATAAATCGTTCACCCAGAGCTTCTGATTTCGTTGTTGAAGAGCGCGGAGCACCTGCCCCATGGAGGCACTCCTGAGGATGACCAAGAAGTCCGTGAAAAAAATGTGCACATTTACGTCGTTTAGCTAAAGCTAGCATTATAAGACTAGTAGTATACTTATGTACATTAATTGCATACCACCCCAACTTTATCTCGCGTTAGTTCAACACAAATGGTTTGGATCATTAACGAAACAACAGATACAGTAAAATACCTGCACAAATGTCGAGTTTTAAATGTTGGTGCAAGTTTATGAATCATTGATACTATAGCTACATGATATCCTTCTGTATACAATATGCAATATATCTCATTTTACAATAAATGACATGCAAGAATTTTACAGATATATATATGTGAAATCAAGAGCTAATACTACCTAATATGTATACTAATAGGTATTATTAGCTCTTTATGAAACAACACAGCTGAACCTCGTTGCTATGTTATACTACACAATGTCTAAACATGGGCTACGCGTCATATTATCACGTCCATCTATTTTAATACTTTAACCCATTATAAACGTACAACAAATACAATAAACACTATTTACGTGTGACGTGAAAAAACAATAATCCTGCAATGGTACAATACATGGGTTATTTTCTACGCTAAACACCTGGTTGATTTTCATTCACATATTTTCAAACATTAGCTAGCTTCTTTTCTCTATAAAGTGGACATGAAATGTGGGAAGATGTTAAACAACGTTTTACACATGTGCTACCTTAATGTATATTACACAGAAGCAAGAAACAGGAGCCACATATATAATTAAGCCTTGCTTTATAAACGAACTGGTTCACGTTTTAAATATAAAAAAATTACACCAGCTTGATATTCCTGCCTGAAAAACCACCGGCATTTGAATATTGTAATTTAGTGCCAGTGGTTCACAATCTTTCTAATTCAATTAATAAATTGTTAACAAATATGATCAGCTGGCTTTACTGTTTTTAACGTAACTAAGCTATGATCACACATTACAAGTAAACACGATATTCCACTGTAAATGTTCTACAGTTACTGCATGCAACATGACGATAAGTTGTCATCTTCAAAAAAACTAAGATCTCTTTTTTAAATGATCTATAATGTACTCTGGATATAAAATGTATAAAAGGATACGTGCCCGAGACATTTCACAATAGTTGAATGATAAATACTGAAAACTCGTTTTAACTGGCATCTCAAAGTATATAAATGGGAACTAACTGAACTGACATTACTGTCATGGCTGTAGCCTAAATTTGGCTAGCATTTCCAAGTATTAAAAACGTTGGTAGGCAATGGGCAAAAAATGCTAATAACAAGCAACAAGAGTAAGTTCTAAATCAATACTTATTTGAAGAATATTGTCACCTGTGTTTTGGAATTCTTCGAGAATGTTAGAATAATTATAATTTACATTTAGCTCATTCATTTTCATTTTCAGGCTTGATTGAAAGCAATTAGTACACTCATTTTCTTACAAACATACTTCTATATATGCAAGCACATTATTCTACCACGTGCTCTTCACATACACTGGTAACATTTGCTCACTCAAATAATATAGACTCATATCAGTCACATGATGTTTTCATCTTCAACCTACTGAAAACCTACAAAATACACAATTTCAACTGCATCGATATATGACATCTTTAAGGTCATTATTTTTTCTAACATGACCACGAATCCCATTTCTGATCACAAGATAACAAAGGTGGAGCCAAAGCTAATGCGATTGTATGAGTATTTTTTTTACTAATAACAAAATGAATTATAACATGTGGACCTTTCAAACATACATGATTTATATGAAGTAATTAATGATAATCAGATGCTTTTCACTCCCCTTTGCCAAGCCCGACCATCTTCATGCTTACATCCCACAACCTGCTAGCGACATCATCATCAAGAGCATTCTTGCTTGGTTCGGCTTCCATGCACTCACTGTAACAAGAACAATAGATTGCTTAAGTAAATGCTGTATGCAATCAATTAACTATGTTACAGAACATGAATAATCACTGCATGAAGAGTCGTCAGAGAAATTGTTGTGCCTGGCAGATTTGCAAGCCCCAAATTTTTAATACGTATAATTCTACAGATCCAGAGCACATTGGAATATAAATCCGTTGCTAGATTAAGTATCACTGGCATCTAAATGTGGCTCAGGAAAATTATGAGTGGCTTGTTTAGTTACACCCAGGCCACGTAGAGAATTCAAATTATTTACAAATTACAAGTCTTAACATTTAAAATTTATGTTTACAAGTTACGTGATTTTGATGTTCACTCAACACACATATTCATGACAATAGTCTAACCAACTCACCTGAAATATTTGCCCGACACACCAGAGATCTCATCTGCAATTGCACAGGTGAGAGGTGTGTTCATTCCATCTTTAGCAGACTTCATGAGCATGAAGACAATTGGAGCTGTGGTTATCATCAGGAATTTATTACTGTGCAGAGGCATGTGTTTGAGCAGATTTGTATTACATACACCAGGGTGTGCTGCATTCACAGTCACGTTAGTGCCTGCAACAGAAAATACATCATCAACTTTACAGATGTAAAAATTCAAAAGACAAACATGTGAATTGTAAAATCTGTGACATACCCTGCAGAAACAAAAGGCTAACCAGTATATTAAAATAGGAGGGAATATCTTGTATAACTGGGGAATAATGACTGGTTACAATTACACACTTGCATCAGATTATAAATCGGATAACTTCAGTTGCACTGATTAGTGACATCCGTTTATTAACAGTTCATGAACCAGGTGTTGAACAATTTTGGGTAGAAGCACCGATGAATTACCTTCAAGTGTCTTAGCCATCTGTCTGGTGAATAAGACCTGAGCAAGCTTGCTCTGAGAGTAGAGACGGCGAGGCTCATATTCCTGCTCCCCATTCAGATTGTTGAACATCATTTCACCGGCTCCATGTGCCCGGCAACTCACGTTTACTATGCGCCCTCTATCAGCTGCCTTCAAGAGATCCAGCAGAAGATGCGTAAGTAGAAAGTGACCTGAAGAGGAAACGATTATTTTGCGTTTGAGAATAAACCTCACTCCAGTCAACTCTGAAATCATACGTCCACCAGATGCATAGATTTTTGGCATCACATGTGGCCACGCAACAGTTAGACCTAAGCAGTGACAGTAGCATTGCTGCATAGGTGTCAACATAAATTTTTTCGTTATATGAATAGCCTTGCCTTGATATCTGGAATACAGGCAAGTCAAAATACAAACCTCAATGTCAATGGCAAAACACATGCATGCATGCACGCACGCACGCACACACACAAACACACATTTATAACAATTATTGTATTTTCGTTTTGATAATAACTACATTATACTTTTATAATGATTTGAATTCGACTGACAAAAGCAGATCCACAGCTCATAACGACATTGTAATGGATTTTCTTGAAGAGCTTAAAGCCATTCATTCAACACAAAATGGCTTAATTTCCTGTTATATATCACCTTAACAATTTGAATTATTTAAACAGTAATACTGACACTCACTGAGGTAGTTCACCTGCCATTGCTCCTCAAACCCATCTTTAGTCTTGCTTAGCTCTGGATTCATCATAACTCCTGCATTGTTGATTAAGACATCAATTTTTTCTTCTTCTGCAACACAATGAAGTAGTAAATGAATCAATCATAAAACCTCTATTATCTTGTTAGCTAACTCTTATCATCAGTGTGGGTATTACTTCCTTTCTAAAGATGTTTGGTGAAACAGTTTATGTTATTAGCGACTGTTTCTCTATGGCCACTGTTTCTCTATTTCTACTAGTAATTAGTATTAGTTGGTAACAATTCCAAGCTGGTAGGTGAGCATTCTGAATTCTTGCCATGGTGGTTGATGCATGGCATGTACCATATTTAAAGGAAAACAAATAAATAGCACATTGCTTTCATGAATTAATAACTTAGCAGACACACATTGCATACCTTTGTGGATTTCTTCTGAAAATTTGTGAACAGAGTCCAGTGATGCTAGGTCAAGGTGCTTCACATACACTTCTTTATTTCTTGCTGCCTTTTTAATTTCATCAGCAGCTTCCTTTGCTGATTCTAGATTTCTGCAGGCTAAAATTATTCTTCCACCTGTAAGATATGAGGTTCACAAAAAGTTTGTTTACAACATGAACTTGTGGTAAAGAAAATAAAGACCCACATAAATTTTTATATATTTGGCCATCGAAAACACTTCTTATAATGTAAAAAAACATTTTTTATATGTTGGAACAGTATCAGCGATTCATAATATATTATTACATAGTTAAATCTAAAAAGTCAGATCCCTAGGACTAAAATATTGCATGACATGTGCACGACACAATAGATCCCATTAACCTGGCTGTTACTAATTTATCACCCTGCTAGTTTAGAAATAACATTTAGGCAATAAAAATACAATTACTCAAGTGCACAGCACAATAAATATAAAAAGAAGATAGGCTAGCTTGAATTCATTAATTTTCCTCTCTATAATGTGACCCAGACAAGGCTAACAATTCTGCACTTGCCTATAATTATTATGTCGACTCGATTGTTATGTTATAAACCAGTTATGAACAGGAAGCTTCAGGCTGCAATAGTGGCAGTACTAGATCGGAATATGAGCAAAAAGACCAACCTTATTTATTTATATACTTGTTCAGTTAAATACCATGAACACATCTAAACAATACCTAGCTAACTTTTAGATACTTTTATGCTACTACTTACCTTGCTTCCTACCAAATATAAGAAAATAAATTATAAGAGGAATTGGGCAGAAAATTCTATGCCAACACTACCAAGATTCTGATAGCCAACCTACCTCTACTTGCAATCTCCTTTGCTAACTCCATGCCAATACCCTGGTTTCCCCCTGTGAGAATAAACGTCTTCCCTTTGGCAAGAGCATGACTGTAAGTAACAGCCCCTTTGAAATATACCCTGCAAATAGTAAGAAATAGGTGCACCTAAAATTAAAAGTCATACATAGTACTATAGCCTAGATTTAGTAATCCAGTAATGAATATGATTACAGTCAATCCTGTGTTAACTGATAACTCTGTTTTGACCCTGTTCCCAATGGCCATAAAAATCTCTCTGCCAATAATTCTGTGTTATATGTGCCCTGTACAGAGAAAATCCCTGTTCAACACAGATGTCGGACATTAATTTTGCATTCCTCGAATGTCCTTCCAGGGCATATAATGGTAACTTTCTTCCCTCAAAGGTTATCATTGGATCAACTACTGATGCAAAATGACAACCAAGCAGATGGACACCTGTCTATACAGGAAACTGTTAAGGGTTCCCTTTAGTGACCATTATATACAAGTTTGACTGTGACAAACTAGACTTTGACAAATATGATCATGATAATACCAACTCTAACTCTGATACACTGATGAAATGAAAATATTCCGAGTATGGTCATACTGATAGGGTCATTCCCACAGAGCTGTAAAGGGATTTACTGACTCAATATAATATATTCTTCAACCTTATTGGTTAGGTTATGTTAGGTTTTAAAGGACAAGTGCCTTTCCCGGCACTTACAACCTGGCACATACCAATACGTGAGATGGGTTTTTGATCATATTTTTCCATAGCACTAGGAGCACCGATTGGTGGAAATGGGATAAAATATAGAAATGGAACAATCCACATCTAAAAGGTCAATTAGTTACTGTGCCATCCTGTTGGGTCACTGGTGCTCCTATAAGCTGGGACAGCCAGCATGGAGTATAGCATTGTCCCTAATTATGGTTTCATGGTTAAATTATCCTTAATCTCAATTAAACAATACGAAGGAAAGATACATCCGCACATTAATACCAGTTGCCAATTGCGCAACATTTGTCTGTTTACTAGTAAAGCATCATAGCATAATAATCATGTACTACATCCATGCCATTAACATTTTGGTTCATGGATATAAGCGCTGACCACAATTCATTTTCGCAATGTCTGACATGTGCATGCCAAATGTCGACAGCTATTAGTATTATATCCTTTGGCCGACATTCTTGCACATTTAAATTTAACCTAATTACTGAAATTGCCTAGACCTAATTGTTAGGTATTATGCGTAACTTCATCAACGTTCTTCGTAATTGCAAATTAGTAATAGGCTACTTATTGATTGGGTCGAGTCATTACTGTTTACAATTTACATTTAAAAATCTTACACACTCACACTGTACTGTGTACAATAGTCAAACACTACAGCCTACAGGGTACAGTAATAGTATTACTTTATAAATACGAGTACTCCTATGAGAATGGCGATCTTCCACACTCCAGATGGAATATCATCAAAACCTAAACCGGGTGGTCCCTGCATTGTGAGAAAATGACAATTGTAATCACAGAATATAACTTATGAACTCGTAAAATTGAAATCGGCGAGTCACGTCGGGATTTGTTTGCTAAGGTGCGACGCCCAGCGGGATTTGTAGGAACTTTCTTACAACCCCAACCAGAAATCTGTATCGTCAAGATCCCGCTTTATTTTTTTGGATGCACCAAAAAATAAAGTATGCACTTTCAGCACATAAAAAAATATTTATGGGTTATTCATATTAAGTGCAATGGCTAGTAGATCTGCGCTTATTTAGAAAAAAAATACGTTACTTATTTTTGTCTGTGCGGCATACGATAGATGACGCTCACGACTGTTTAGATATGGCGGCAACGGATAAAAGCTTACTAACTTTCGAGGATAAAAATAGCGATCTACTCAAGAATTTAGTGATCGAGGTTGTACATGTAAATTAAAAAGTACAATTTAAACGTTTTGTTAACTGATACGTTTTATCTGATAAAACTAACCTAACACAAATACAACGTATGCTAAAAGTAAAAATGTCCAAGTTTGACGCATGATGAATGCACTATGTCTATGAGTATGAATAGTAATTAGTATGATACTGTGACTATGATAATGCAGCGACCAACGTGAACGTGCCTCAACTAGTATTAGTATTACCTACTTACCTAGGCCAGCAGAACAAGTTCATATAGTCCATACACAATGGGCAGTTAGTTTCTGGCAGTGATTCCTACACAATTACCTTTATGGCTTTAAGCATTATATAGACATTTTCTCTCCACCACATTCTTTCTGGCATTACAAATTGATTCAGGAAATCGCCAGATATGGGTGCACATTAGTCATTAGGCTAGGCCTATTATAGCTCTAGTACTATAGCCTGCGTTCGATTAACTGCCGCAGGGCTATAGCACATTGTCGGCTGGAAATACCAACTACGACCTGTTACCACCTGTCCCCATGAAAAATGGATCGCAAAACGCAAAGTTATCGGGCTTTTTAACACTTATTTATCTACATGGACATCTCACCACATGGCATTTCATTTTGAAACGAAGTGGCGTGCGCACGCGTGACGTCACCGGTATTGTATATACCCATAGCTGCCATGTGTTTTGCGTACATATCCGGTAACGTCACGCGTGCGCATGTTGTGCCCAAACTTGGAATCTTGCACAAACTTGGAATTTCAGCGCATCCTCAGTTTGGGCAACCAATCTTGAGATTGGGCAAACAGAGGTGAACAGAGCTTGCACAAACATATGATTGTTAGGATTTCAAATGTTATATCATCAGGGCTGCCAACATTGGGTGATAGGCGAGAGTGAGATGCGAGGGAGCGAAGCGACCGAGTGGGGGTGGCGGTAGGGCGCTTTTGCATTTTATAACTTCAATTTGTGCAATTTGGTGCATACTAAAGTGACCATTTTCAGATATTGTAAGATTTTTTTTGCTGTGCGTGAGATATTTCAGCGTTTTATTCACGAAGAGATATTCATGCGTGAGATATCTCAGCATTTTTTTGCTGTGCGTGAGATATTGTAAGATCAGCGTGAGAGCGTGAGATTTGGTCAAAATGCGTGAGTCTCACGGTCAATGCGTGAGAGTTGGCAGCCCTGTATCATAACTATAACAAGGTCGTATACCTTCTTTCCTCAATGTGTTTGGCACCTTTGTATAAATATTAAATGATTATAATAAATAATTGGATAAATATGAGATAAATCTCTTCCTAGTTTGCACCACGCACACCACACACTCGCTATGAGCGGTTGTTGAATCACCGACTGTTTTCAGTTTGCACAATCTTGAGATTGGGCAGATTCCAAGTTTGGTTACAACAGATCCATGTTTCTGACTCCATTATTATGACAAGTCTTTATTGCTAATCATGTCTCCCATTTAAACAACAATATTGATGATACAGCCACGTGACCACAATTAGTCCGAGGTGACTCTGACACCTACTAATAGTAATACTATACGTTTATACACAATTTACATAACCATTTCTTGCTGCTGATCTAAGGCATTGGGTGCAAATACACTTTATGACGTCCAGTATGGCGGCGCAGTATGGGGGCGCCTAACCCTAACCCTAA